CACTGGTTACTACACTCTGCATAACACTGGTTACTATACTCTGCACAACACTGGTTACTATACTCTGCACAACACTGGTTACTACACTCTGCATAACACTGGTTACTACACTCTGCACAACACTGGTTACTACACTCTGCACAACACTGGTTACTATACTCTGCACAACACTGGTTACGACACTCTGCACAACTCTGGTTACTACACTCTGCACAACACTGGTTACTACACTCTGCGCAACACTGGTTACTACAGTCTGCATAACACTGGTTACTACACTCTGCACAACACTGGTTACTGCACTCTGCACAATACTGGTTACTACACTCTGCACAACACTGGTTACTACACTCTGCACAACACTGGTTACTGCACTCTACACAACGCTGGTTACTACACTCTGCACAACACTGGTTACTACACTCTGCACAACACTGGTTACTGCACTCTACACAACGCTGGTTACTACACTCTACACAACACTGGTTACTACACTCTTCACAACACTGGTTACTACACTCTACACAACGCTGGTTACTATGCACAGCAATGGTTACTACACTCTGCACAACACTGGTTACTACACTCTGCACAACACTGGTTACTACACTGCACAGCACTGGTTACTACACTCTACACAACACTGGTTACTACACTCTTCACAACACTGGTTACTACACTCTACACAACGCTGGTTACTATGCACAGCAATGGTTACTACACTCTGCACAACACTGGTTACTACACTCTGCACAACACTGGTTACTACACTGCACAGCACTGGTTACTACACTCTACACAACACTGGTTACTACACTCTTCACAACGCTGGTTACTGCACTCTGCACAACAATGGTTACTACACTCTGCACAACACTGGTTACTACACTCTGCACAACACTGGTTACTACACTCTTCACAACGCTGGTTACTGCACTCTGCTCAACACTGGTTACTGCCCTCTGCACAACAATGGTTACTACACTCTGCACAGCACTGGTTACTACACTCTACACAACACTGGTTACTACACTCTTCACAACGCTGGTTACTGCACTCTGCACAACACTGGTTACTACACTCTGCACAACACTGGTTACTACACTCTGCATAACACTGGTTACTACACTCTGCATAACACTGGTTACTATACTCTGCACAACACTGGTTACTATACTCTGCACAACACTGGTTACTACACTCTGCATAACACTGGTTACTACACTCTGCACAACACTGGTTACTACACTCTGCACAACACTGGTTACTACAGTCTGCACAACACTGGTTACGACACTCTGCACAACTCTGGTTACTACACTCTGCACAACACTGGTTACTACACTCTGCGCAACACTGGTTACTACAGTCTGCATAACACTGGTTACTACACTCTGCACAACACTGGTTACTGCACTCTGCACAATACTGGTTACTACACTCTGCACAACACTGGTTACTACACTCTGCACAACACTGGTTACTGCACTCTACACAACGCTGGTTACTACACTCTGCACAACACTGGTTACTACACTCTGCACAACACTGGTTACTGCACTCTACACAACGCTGGTTACTACACTCTACACAACACTGGTTACTACACTCTTCACAACACTGGTTACTACACTCTGCACAACACTGGTTACTACACTCTGCACAACACTGGTTACTACAGTCTGCACAACACTGGTTACGACACTCTGCACAACTCTGGTTACTACACTCTGCACAACACTGGTTACTACACTCTGCGCAACACTGGTTACTACAGTCTGCATAACACTGGTTACTACACTCTGCACAACACTGGTTACTGCACTCTGCACAATACTGGTTACTACACTCTGCACAACACTGGTTACTACACTCTGCACAACACTGGTTACTGCACTCTACACAACGCTGGTTACTACACTCTGCACAACACTGGTTACTACACTCTGCACAACACTGGTTACTGCACTCTACACAACGCTGGTTACTACACTCTACACAACACTGGTTACTACACTCTTCACAACACTGGTTACTACACTCTACACAACGCTGGTTACTATGCACAGCAATGGTTACTACACTCTGCACAACACTGGTTACTACACTCTGCACAACACTGGTTACTACACTGCACAGCACTGGTTACTACACTCTACACAACACTGGTTACTACACTCTTCACAACACTGGTTACTACACTCTACACAACGCTGGTTACTATGCACAGCAGTGGTTACTACACTCTGCACAACACTGGTTACTACACTCTGCACAACACTGGTTACTACACTGCACAGCACTGGTTACTACACTCTACACAACACTGGTTACTACACTCTTCACAACGCTGGTTACTGCACTCTGCACAACAATGGTTACTACACTCTGCACAACACTGGTTACTACACTCTGCACAACACTGGTTACTACACTCTTCACAACGCTGGTTACTGCACTCTGCTCAACACTGGTTACTGCCCTCTGCACAACAATGGTTACTACACTCTGCACAGCACTGGTTACTACACTCTACACAACACTGGTTACTACACTCTTCACAACGCTGGTTACTGCACTCTGCACAACACTGGTTACTACACTCTGCACAACACTGGTTACTACACTCTGCATAACACTGGTTACTACACTCTGCATAACACTGGTTACTATACTCTGCACAACACTGGTTACTATACTCTGCACAACACTGGTTACTACACTCTGCATAACACTGGTTACTACACTCTGCACAACACTGGTTACTACACTCTGCACAACACTGGTTACTACAGTCTGCACAACACTGGTTACGACACTCTGCACAACTCTGGTTACTACACTCTGCACAACACTGGTTACTACACTCTGCGCAACACTGGTTACTACAGTCTGCATAACACTGGTTACTACACTCTGCACAACACTGGTTACTGCACTCTGCACAATACTGGTTACTACACTCTGCACAACACTGGTTACTACACTCTGCACAACACTGGTTACTGCACTCTACACAACGCTGGTTACTACACTCTGCACAACACTGGTTACTACACTCTGCACAACACTGGTTACTGCACTCTACACAACGCTGGTTACTACACTCTACACAACACTGGTTACTACACTCTTCACAACACTGGTTACTACACTCTACACAACGCTGGTTACTATGCACAGCAATGGTTACTACACTCTGCACAACACTGGTTACTACACTCTGCACAACACTGGTTACTACACTGCACAGCACTGGTTACTACACTCTACACAACACTGGTTACTACACTCTTCACAACACTGGTTACTACACTCTACACAACGCTGGTTACTATGCACAGCAATGGTTACTACACTCTGCACAACACTGGTTACTACACTCTGCACAACACTGGTTACTACACTGCACAGCACTGGTTACTACACTCTACACAACACTGGTTACTACACTCTTCACAACGCTGGTTACTGCACTCTGCACAACAATGGTTACTACACTCTGCACAACACTGGTTACTACACTCTGCACAACACTGGTTACTACACTCTTCACAACGCTGGTTACTGCACTCTGCTCAACACTGGTTACTGCCCTCTGCACAACAATGGTTACTACACTCTGCACAGCACTGGTTACTACACTCTACACAACACTGGTTACTACACTCTTCACAACGCTGGTTACAGCACTCTGCTCAACACTGGTTACTGCCCTCTGCACAACAATGGTTACTACACTCTGCACAACGCTGGTTACTACACTCTGCATAACACTGGTTACTACATTCTGCACAACACTGGTTACTGTACTCTGCACAACACTGGTTACTTCACTCTGCACAACACTGGTTACTGTACTCTGCACAACAATGGTTACTGCACTCTGCACAACACTGGTTACTACAGTCTGCATAACACTGGCTACTACACTCTGCACAACACTGGTTACTACACTCTGCACAACACTGGTTACTACACTCTTCACAACACTGGTTACTACACTCTACACAACGCTGGTTACTATACACAGCAATGGTTACTACACTCTGCACAACACTGGTTACTACACTCTTCACAACACTGGTTACTACACTCTACACAACGCTGGTTACTATACTCTGCACAACACTGGTTACTTCACTCTGCACAACACTGGTTACTACGCTCACCACAACACTGGTTACTACACTCACAACACTTGCTAGTACACTCACCACAGCACTGGTTACTACACTCACCACAACACTGGTTACTACACTCACCACAACACTGGTTACTACACTCACCACAACACTGGTTACTACACTCACAACACTTGCTACTACACTCATCACATCACTGGTTACTATACTCACCACAACACTGGTTACTACACTCACCACAACACTGGTTGCTACAGTCACAACACTTGCTACTACACTCACCACAGCACTGGTTACTACACTCACCACAACACTGGTTACTACACTCACCACAACACTGGTTGCTACACTCACCACAACACTGGCTACTACACTCACCACAACACTTGCTACTACACTCACCACAGCACTGGTTACTACACTCACCACAACACTGGTTACTACACTCACCACAACACTGGCTGCTACACTCACCACAACACTGGCTACTACACTCACCACAACACTGGTTACTACACTCACCACAACACTGGTTACTACACTCACCACAACACTGGTTACTACACTCACCACAACACTGGTTGCTACACTCACCACAACACTGGCTACTACACTCACCACAACACTGGTTACTACACTCACCACAACACTGGTTATTACACTCACCACAACACTGGTTACTACACTAACCACAACACTGGTTACTACACTCACCACAACACTGGTTACTACACTCACAACACTTGCTACTACACTCACCACAGCACTGGTTACTACACTCACCACAACACTGGTTACTACACTCACCACAACACTGGTTGCTACACTCACCACAACACTGGCTACTACACTCACCACAAGATTCACTACACTTGCCGGCCGAGTGGGTTGAAAGGTAATCATCTCCGAACTTGTAGCCTGGACCTCCAACACTACCTTGGTCACCGTTATATTCCACGAAGGCAGCGTCACTGTACGGGTCACTGTGGGAGAAAGATGTAGAGTTAGTGTCACTGTGGGATGGCTTAGTTTTAAGTTTTGTAAAGAAGTTAGTGTGTGTATGGGAGGGGAATTATTATTTTTTTGAAGTGGATGGGAGTGAGTATGGATGAGGGAGGGGTTGTTAGCATGGGTGTTGGTGGGAGAACTAGTTTGGGTGGAAGGGAGAGTAAGTGTAAGTGACAGAGTTTGTACTGGTGGGAGGGGCAGTTAGTGGACTGGTGCGAGGGTGTTACTGTTGATTAATGTAGGGAAATGTACTATGGATGGGAACGGGAGTTAGTGAGAGAGCGAGAAAATTAGTGTGCGAGGGAGGGGGAGGTTAGTGATGGACGGAGTTAGAGTTGGTGTGCCAAAGCCATAGTGTGGGAGAGAGAGAGAAGGAGTTTGTTTGACAGGCGGATTTGTTTATTGTTAAGAGAAAGCTTATTTCACCTAACTCACTCTCTCATTCCTGTTCTCTACTAATTCCCACACGAGGCCTAGTCTCAGACCGGGCCGCTGGGGTGTTGACCCCAAAAACTCCAGGTATATCCTACTGAAGTCTTTCATCTGAGGCTCGGAATGTGATAGAGGGACATAGCTAACTTTTGTCCCCACAATATAACTATATAGGGCAGCCGCACACTGCGGATGTGCCCTCAAGAAATCATTACTGATTTACCATCCCCTATTCGTTTTTTTTTTCTCTGTCTCCCCATCCCTCCAGCCACATTCATTCCATCATTCAATCTTTCCCTCCCTTTCCTGCTTTCCACACTCGTAAACTTTCCCTCCCTTTCTCCCATCCATCATTCGCACCCCATACTCCTTTTGACACTTCAACCCCCCATTTCAAAAGATTTAATATTCCTTTCTCTCTCTCTCTCTCTCTTTCTATCTCTCCCCTCGTCTATTTGTCTGTCTATCTGTCTGTCTGTCTGTCTGACTGTCTGTCTGTCTCTCTCTCTCACACACATTCATCATCACTGTATCACCTCCCAATTTTTCAGTGAGTTTTTTTTCACCTTCGTATAGTTTTCACCTCTTTAACATTTTCTTCCTCGTTTTCTTGCTGTTCTCTATACATTCTCGTATATTTGTAATTTTCCTTTTTAATTTATCGATGGTCTGTGTACCCATGTCTTTCCAGCGATGTTAGTAGAGATAAACCCGTCTTTCTACCAGTTCACTGATAAACAACCGAAGAGGCTGGGTTTGATCCTGATGAGGGTGGAGACAGTGCCTGTTTTCTTACACCCGTTGCCTCGTTTTCACCTAGCAGGAGGTAGGTACCTGGGAATTAGCCAACTGTTGTGGGTTACATCTAGGGTAAGAGGACCTCAGGATCCTAGGGGAAAATAAGCCACACTACTTGTCTTTCCTGGGTTGTAATAAGCTGCTAAATCCTCGGGTTATCTTGGGTTACTAACCCTCTGGATTATCCAAGATCTCTAACCCTTAGGGATAATAACCTCGCCTATCTTATCCACCCATCCACGGGTATATAAACCTGCAAGTTTCAGTGTTCTCTGTCTACCCATCTACATTAATACAAATCTGTACCAGTAATTGATACCAGACCCATAAACTGTCTCTACCATTTTATCACACTGTCTATCGAAATACGAATTAAATTCTTTCTCAACTATCTATTTATGTATTTTTCTCTGAAACTGTCTATCCACGTACCTTTATAACTGTCAGTCATATGAGAACATAAGAAAGAAGGAGCGCTGTAGCAGGCCTACTGGCCCATGCTAGGCAGCTCAAAGTCACCTACTGGCTTAAGTTACTCAGGTTCAAGTCACATCCACTTAAGAAGGAAGGAGTACTGCATCAGATCCATTAGCACAAGCTAGTCAGGTCCAACTCACCCACTCACACCAACTCATGTATTTATCTAACCTAATTTTAAAACTACTTAACGTTTTAGCTTCACTGACGCTGCTCGGGAGTTTGTTCCACTCATCCACAACTCTATTACCAAACCAGTGTTTTCCTATATCCTTTGTGAATCTATTTTTTTTCGGCTTGAAACCATTGCTGCGATTCCTGTCTTGATTATATATTTTTAACATGTTATTTACATCCCCTTTTCCAATTCCTGTTTCCCATTTATACACCTCAGTCACACTGTCTAACAGGCTACTGTCCCGTCTCTCGTACTGTCCATCCCCTTCCCGCATATTTTTGTTCTTCTTTTTTTTGGGGGGTCTCCAAGTGGATTTCACAGTAAATGAATATGGTTCATTTCGTAACCATGTACTTTTTTTTAATGAACTTCTATATTCGTATCAATCTATTTCTTATCTATTTATATTTCACTATATATCTTTGTTTGTTCTTGTTTAAACTTATCTAATTGTGCTTCTGGATTTCTTTGTAACTTTCTCGAACGTATTTGTACCCGTGTGTACTTACCTGCTTCTATATACCTATTTGCACTTGACTATTTTTAAAGTTGCCAATTTGTATTCATGTATCTGAGTAGAGTAATTTGCTCTTACTTTTCAGTAATTTCTTCTTTCTCACTTTAGCAATGAGGTTGTAATTTCTCACTTTCACTTGACTGGTTTAATTCTTCTTTAAACTTTCAGAATCTATGATGTTCGGTTTTGAAGCGCCTTACATCTTTCTGGTTCCTTTTTGTATCTCGTTTCCCTCTGTGTTTCGTGATTTTGTTACCTCTCTTGTCAGTCTGCCTCTTCCTACCTTATCTTCTACGTCATGACCACATCCCCTCAGATGTTTCTTTTATGGTTGATTGTTTTATTCTCCTGTTTTTTCTACTCTAGGACATATAAGTAACACACTGCAGCAGTGTCTGTCATCCACAACACCAGTGTCTGTCATTCACAACACCAGTGTCTGTCATTCACAACACCAGTGTCTGTCATTCACAACACCAGTGTCTGTCATCCACAACACCAGTGTCTGTCATCCACAACACTAGTGTCTGTCACTCATAACACCAGTGTCTGCCATCCACAACACCAGTGTCTGTCATTCACAACACCACTGTCTGTCATTCATAGCACCAGTGTCTGTCATTCACAACACCAGTGACTGCCATTCATAACACCAGTGTCTGCCATCCACAACACCAGTGTCTGTCATTCACAACACCAGTGTCTACCATCCACAACACCAGTGTCTGTCATTCATAGCACCAGTGTCTGTCATTCACAACACCAGTGTCTGTCATTCACAACACCAGTGTCTGTCATTCACAACACCAGTGTCTGTCATCCACAACACCAGTGTCGTCATTCCAACACCAGTGTCTGTCATTCACAACACCAGTGTCTGTCATTACATGCATCAACACCAGTGTCTGTCATTCCACATGTTGTATCACCACAGTGTCTGTCATTCACAACACCAGTGTCTGTCATTCACAACACCAGTGTCTGTCATTCACAACACCAGTGTCTGTCATTCACAACACCAGTGTCTGTCATTCACAACACCAGTGTCTGTCATTCACAACACCAGTGTCGTGTCATTCCACAACACCAGTGTCTGTCATTCACAACACCAGTGTCTGTCATTCAACACATCACACCATGTCTGTCATCACAACACCAGTGTCTGTCATCCACAACACTAGTGTCTGTCATCAAACACAGTCTGCATCACAACACAGTGTCTGTCATTCAAACACCAGTGCTGCATTCAACACCAGTGTCTGCTCATCCACAACACCAGTGTCTGTCATCCACAACACCAGTGTCTGTCACTCATAACACCAGTGTCTGCCATCCACAACACCAGTGTCTGTCATTCACAACACCAGTGACTGCCATTCATAACACCAGTGTCTGCCATCCACAACACCAGTGTCTGTCATCCACAACACCAGTGTCTGTCATTCACAACACCAGTGTCTACCATCCACAACACCAGTGTCTGTCATTCCAACATCACATCCAGTGTCTGTCATTCACAACACCAGTGTCTGCCATCCACAACACCAGTGTCTGTCATCCACAACACCAGTGTCTGTCATTCACAACACCAGTGTCTGTACCATCTCACTAACACCAGTGTCTGTCATTCACAACACCAGTGCTGTCATCTACACCAGTGTATGCATTCACACAGTGTCTGTCATTCACAACACCAGTGACTGCCATTCCAAACACCAGTGTCTGTCCATCCACAACACCAGTGTCTGCCATCCACAACACCAGGGTCTGTCATTATAACATGATTCATCACAACACCAGTGTCTGTCATTCACAACACCAGTGTCTGTCATTCATAACACCAGTGTATGCCATTCACAACACCAGTGTCTGTCATTCATAACACCAGTGACTGCCATCCACAACACCAGTGTCTGCCATCCACAACACCAGTGTCTGCCATCCACAACACCAGGGTCTGTCATTCATAACACCAGTGACTGTCATTCACAACACCAGTGTCTGCCATCCACAACACCAGTGTCTGTCATTCACAACACCAGTGACTGCCATTCATAACACCAGTGACTGCCATCCATAACACCAGTGTCTGCTCATCCACAACACCAGTGTCTGTCATTCACAACACCATGTCTCATCCACCCATGTCCATTCTAACACCAGTGTCTGCTCATCCACAACACCAGTGACTGTCATTCATAACACCAGTGACTGTCATTCACAACACCAGTGTCTGTCATCCACAACACCAGTGTCTGTCATTCACAACACCAGTGTCTGCCATTCAAACACCAGTGTCTGTCATCACAACACCAGTGTCTGTCATCCACAACACCAGTGTCTGTCATTCACAACACCAGTGTCTGCCATCCACAACACCAGTGTCTGTCATTCATAACACCAGTGTCTGTCATCCACAACACCAGTGTCTGTCATTCACAACACCAGTTTCTGTCATTCACAACACCAGTGTCTGTCATTCACAACACCAGTGTCTGTCATTCACAACACCAGTGTCTGTCATTCACAACACCAGTGTCTGTCATTCACAACACCAGCGTCTGTCATTCACAACACCAGCGTCTGTCATTCACAACACCAGTGTCTGTCATTCACAACACCAGCGTCTGTCATTCACAACACCAGTGTCTGTCATTCACAACACCAGTGTCTGTCATTCACAACACCAGTGTCTGTCATTCCACAACACCAGCTGTCTGTCATTCCACAACACAGTGTCTGTCATCAAACCCAGTCTGTCATTCACAACACCAGTGTCTGTCATTCACAACACCACGTCTGTCATCAAGCCCAGTGCTGTCATTCACAACACCAGTGACTGCATTCACAACACCAGCGTCTGCCATTCACAACACCAGTGTCTGTCATTCCACAACACCAGTGTCTGTATCAACCATGTCTCATCCAACACCAGTGTCTGTCATCCACAACACCAGTGTCTGTCATTCACAACACCAGTGTCTACCATCCACAACACCAGTGTCTGTCATCCACAACACCAGTGTCTGTCATTCACAACACCAGTGTCTACCATCCACAACACCAGTGTCTGTCATTCACAACACCAGTGACTGTCATTCACAGCTCCAGTGTCTGTCATTCACAACACCAGTGACTGCCATTCATAACACCAGTGTCTGTCATCCACAACACCAGTGTATGCCATTCACAACACCAGTGTCTGTCATTCATAACACCAGTGTCTGTCATTCACAACACCAGTGTCCGTCATTCACAACACCAGTGTCTGTCATTCACAACACCAGTGTCTGCCATCCACAACACCAGTGTCTGTCATCCACAACACCAGTGTCTGTCATTCATAACACCAGTGTCTGCCATCCACAACACCAGTGTCTGTCATTCACAACACCAGTGACTGTCATTCACAGCTCCAGTGTCTGTCATTCACAACACCAGTGACTGCCATTCATAACACCAGTGTCTGTCATCCACAACACCAGTGTACTGCATTCACAACACCAGTGTCTGCATTCAAACACCAGTGTCTGCCATCACAACACCAGTGTCTGTCATTCATAACACCAGTGATCTGCCATCCACAACACCAGTGTCTGCCATCCACAACACCAGTGTCTGTCATTCCACAACACCAGTGTCGTCATTCATAACACCA